AAAAACCCGGGGGGGAAATTTTCCACCAAAAGGGAAGAAATTTGCAGGAGAGAGGCCCAATTACACACAAGAAGCGGTACTTGTTTGGGAAAGCTTACCCAGGGGGAAGAAAAAGGGGCGGGGGGGGGTCCATTGGGGAGAAAAAAAAGAAACCGGGGGAGGATGCCCAAAAGGGAGAGGGGGGCATTTCAACCCCAGGGGAAATTTCCAAAGATTGAGGAGAAGGGGGGGGCGCCGATTACCCCCGGGAGAAAAAGGGCCCCCCTTTAAAGGGGGCCAAAGACCGGGGGAGGGCGAAGCGAGTTTTAAAAAACCGGTAAAGGGGTGAGGAGGGCAACCCAGGTTAAGGGACCCCTTGGGGGGGCCGGGGAGCCCTTTCAGGGTTGGGGGGGGGAAAAAAAGCTTAACCCCCACCCCCCCCCCCCCCCCCTCCCACCACCACCAGGCTGGGTGTCTCACCCTCTCGAGGATTGGGAGATGGATGGATGGATGGCTTCAGATGGGTTGATCGTCGTCCCCCCAGCGTGGGGCTGGCTTTCCGCCAAGTCGGAAGCGCCGTTTCCCAGCATGGACTTGAGATTGGGGGATGCATTGGCCTACTTCAGTTTCTTCCTTCCCTCTCCCGTCTCTCGCTCTTCGTCTTCTTCTTCTTCGTGTTGTTGTTCTATTTCGTATTCTGTTACCTCCCTGCTCCGACACTCTCTCCCATGCAGTCAAGACAGTCTCTCATATATCTGTATTTTGTTAGTAGTATCAGTATCACCATCTCTCTCTCTCTCTCATGTTCTCCTCTCCCACCATTCTTGTTGCTCTCTCTTCCTTCCACATTCACACCAATTTTGTCTCTTCTGTACCCCACATTTGGTGTTTTGTTCGGAGTAATATACTGTCTACCCCAAATAGAAAGGCAGAAGGGGGGGGGGGGTTTTTTTTATAGCCCTGTCCATTCCTCTATCTATTCCAAACCTCCACTGCTCATTGCACCATCCCTCCCCATGTTCTCTCTCCCTCCTGGAGTCCACTTTTTTCACCTCAAGCATTGGGCATTTGTCCCTCCCACTCACACATTATATGTGAGTACATACCATCTTGGAACATATGCCATACCAACACCTTTCAGCACTGTTTCTCACATGCCCAATATGTTCTTTTATTTTTTGCATCTTTTAAAGATAACACAAAACAAAAAGTCTTATCATGTCAAACTCACCTCCAACCACAATATTTGGAAAGATGTTAAGAAATGTTATTTATTATATGATGTGGCTTGGATACAAGACAGAGACCAAAAAAAAAAAAAAAAAAAAAAAAAAACTCTCATTAGCAATGATGAAGGAAATGCAAGGATTGTAAGAGCACGGTGTTGTATTGTGGTTTGGCTACCATGTGAAAATAATGCACATATATATTTAATATATTATTTATTATACAATGTAGTGAGAGCCATGTTATTAAATTTTAGTTGGTTAAAAAATGTGATTAGATTACTACTTTGAAGTAATTAGTTTAAAAGAGCTATTATTGAGGTCAATTTTATGTTGATAATAGTTTTTATATATTTAGAGCCACTTTTATTAGACATTGGTGACTCTTGAAATCTTGTTTTGTTTCTTTTATTTGATGTTTAAATATATACTATACAAAACTTATTAGAAAAAATATTAGAGAATGGTTTTTGTGTAAAAAAGAATATTTAGGCCAACCATATAGATGAATGGAGATGGATGATGAAAATCTCCATTCTTATTGGCCAAAATTCATATCTAATGGACTTCAAGGAGGTTTTCTATGGCCTTATTAGGGATTAGGATTATTCTTTTGGAGAATTTGAACTTCAGAAGTTGGGATCAAGAAGTTTAGGTTTTTGGCTATTATTTTGATGCAAATTTTGAGTAATTTAGAGTTTTTATGAAAGAAATATAGGCACTCAAAGTTAAGGTGTTGATTATGTACCTATTGTCACTCTTTTGGGTATAACACATGTATGTGGAAAGAAATAAAGGATAGGCAACTGGGTTTGGAAAGAATACTTTTTTGGCTATACTTTTCATATACTACTTGATGAATTCTAATTTGGGATGAAGGAGATATATGAAGTTGAATTCAGCGCTTGCAATCTAAAAGCAGTAAGTGACCCAATTTAATAGTGGTTGTGTTTTGAACTATAAACTGAGCAATTTGACAAGTTTTTGGCTAAAAATTTCCTAAAATGTATGTTATCATGTTACTAAACTTTATTCATAAATTTTGTGGCATTTAAATTTTGGATTTTTGAGATATAGAAAAAGTAATACTTGGATGTTTATAAATTAGGGTTTAGAGTACTTGCTAGGGTTTCTAAGATGCCAAATGATTTTTTAGTAGATTTATGATTTAAGAGATATGAATTTTTTAAATTTGGGTAGAAAAATTCTATGCAAGAGAAAAATATTTTGAAAGGATTTTGCTATAATTTGGGATTTTTATACAAAATAGAGGGGTTTTTGGAAGCCAAAATTTTATATATATGTGAAAGATGGAGATATGGAGTTATGAAAAAATTATGATATAAAGATGGATTTTTATAAGAGGATTGTGGATTTTCTTTGAGCTCATAGAAAATCAAACTTATCGACAAACAATAAGTTATGATTTGGTATAGCAAAGGATGTTAGGGCATTTTTAGATGCTTTAAAAGCCTTGTATATAAACCTTCTTATATATAAAAGGTTTTTCATATTAAAATATCTTTTTTTATTGATGTATTTATTTATCTTCAATAATAAGAATAAATCACTTATTGGACCTTGGCTAATAAGTTAAAGCTAAACTCTATATAGCTAGGTACCTAGCATATTTTTAAATAGAAAAACATGCCATATAACAACAACACTCAAGAATATGAGATTGTAGGGCTTTTCAAGGCCTTTAGTTTGGAATAGAATACTTTCAATAGCTTATTTGTACCTTATAACAAAGATTTCTATTAATATTTATATAAATACATATATGTAGCAATAAATTATGTTATTAATTTAAAAATAAAAAATAATAAAGGATCTAAATACTCTATTGTTAACCCAAGCCTATGCCATATTAATATTCAACTTCTATCTAGATAGAGAACTTACTTCTATCTATATATTTCAAAGAGATACTATTCCAAATTGAATATTTTAAATTCCTAATGGATACCTGAACAATACTAAAAGGATAACTAAAAGATGCTCTTAGAAGTTAAATTTTTATACTAGAATTTCTATACTGAATTGCATTTTTTTTCAACTAACACCATTTTTTCTTAATCTAAAATTTCTTGATCTAGTTTTTACCTAATACTTGTAATTTTGGCACTGTAAGTGCAATTTATTGTTCTAAAACTACCAATGAGTTGATATTATGACTTACATTAAGGTAAAAGGCAATACCACATATACAAAAGTTTTTCAAAGTGTTTTTCATGTAATCTTATATCAATCTTGAGGAGCTATTGATAATTAATTATAACCAAAGTAATCATTCATAAAACTATATAAGTCATAATCGCCCTCATCATCTACTATAGAAGTAATAAAAAGTAATGGAAAATGGTCTTTTTGAATGTGCTTATTCAAATCCCAATAATCCATAGACACCATAAGCTTATTTCTTCCCTTCTTTTTCATCAAGATAATATGAAACAACCAAAATGTAGGCCTTATAAATTCTACTTGAAGTAGCTGTTTCAATTTTTCTTTTACAATGAGTTGTATTTTAATTACAAAACATCAAAAATTATTCCAAAAGACTACAACTCTTAGTTGATGTCAAGATATTTAAAGCAAAAATTAGATTATGTTCTTAAATAATTTTCATATATACAACAAACATAAAATGACATTTGGTATTAATGAAGAATTAAAAAATAAAAAAGATGCAAGAATCTATTTAAACTTCAAGAAAAAATAATAATTGCATTTGAAAAATATTTCTAAATAAGTTAAAATAATCAAGAGTAAAAATTTATATTTTATCTTGTGAATACTATGTATGAAAGATAGATTAATTAATAAAATATAAATTATGTATTAGATTATATATATATATATATATATATATATAAAATAATATATATAAATAATTACTAGGATTTGAATTAAATCAATACTATTTCTTATATTGAATAAAATGAATATTTTTCGATAATGCAATTCAGTATAGAAATTCAGTATAGAAATTCTAGTAATTAAAGACAAAATTTTATTTTCTAAAGTGGGATGTATAAAATTATTATATAAAATTTTCTTTGAAATAAAATTTAATATTATCAAATGAATATTCTAGGTTTAGAAAATTCATATATATATATATATATATATATATGTATATACATATAAATATAATATTTTATGAGTAAAAATTAGATTTTTTTTAAAGAAAAAAAGGATGGATTTGATTAGATAAAGAATTCTATTTGTTAAAATTTGTTGCAATTAGGCTAGTAATATTTGTAGTTTGTAATAATACTTGTACATATTAATTAATAAGTAAAAAATAATTATCTTATAATAGACATCTAATATTACATAGAACATATATATAATAGTTTAAATAGTAATAATCTCTACATAGAATTTTTTTAAAATCATATATAATATTGAAAGTGATAGATGTAAAACTTCCAATTAATTGATAGAAAGCTACAATTTTTTGATTTTTATTTTCATATATTTATCTAAAAGTTTAATTCTTGTATACTAATATATATATATATATATATATAGATAAATTTTTATATTACTTATTATATTATAAAATCTATTATTTGATTAAAAATAATAATACTATTATATTTACATTTTTTATATTAAATTAAACAAATCTCTGATGTGATAATGCACTTACATATATATATATATATATATAATATTTTCTTTTAATCAATAAAAAATTATTTTTTAATTTTTTAATTTTAATAATAATAATTTTATAGCACTAAAATACATAGTTTAGATTTATAATAGTAAATATTGTAGATATCCTTGTAAAATGTTTGTAATAATTTTATTCTTTAAAAAAATTATTGCAACTAATAAAAAAAATTAATTTAAGTTATTTGATTTTATTAAATAATTATATGTATTAAATTTTTATTTTATTAATTTATTATTGAAAAAATATTTTTTAAAAAAATAATTTTTTTAATAAGTTGCTATGCTTTATATTAACAAGATTATTTCTTAAAGAAAGTGTGTATCAAAGTTCTTTTGAATAAAAAATAGTATATTTAAAAATAATTAATAGAAATCTTCTTTAGCTAATTATAATTTTTTATAATTATCTTTATATATTATCGAGATGTTGATGACGATGTTACAAATATGCTTGATTTCAAATTTAAACTATTTTTAGCAATCATTATTTTATTAGAATTGTTGTAGACTGTGATGGTTTTGGTAAAAAGTACATGATAAACTATGGTTTCAAAGACCTTTTAGAACGTTTTAGAATTTTTATAACATTTTAAAAACCCCCTGATATTTCTTTTACTTTTTATTGATTATAAAAATATAATATAACTTTCAAAAAAATTCTTTAGCTTCCATTACAGCTTTAAATTTTCTCTACGGTATTTTTGAAGTTTCTTTAGTATTCTACAGTCGTCTAAAAGCTTTCATTAATTATTAATTAATTTTTTTTGTGGTCTTTTACAAATTTTAATAAAAATTCATGATATGTTTAAAGATTTTATAGTCTATACTTATTTTTAATCTTCTTTAACTAAAATAAGTTTTGTAGAAGATTTTATAAAATTTTAAAACATATAACTATTTCTAAAACATTTCTTAGAAGCTTCTATAGAATCTAGTTGCCATTGTATAAATAGAGAGGTAAAAAAGAGGCATCGATTTTGTCAAACGTATTTTAAAGCAACTAGAGTATTATCTTATTCTTGGAATTGTATTCAAAATTATCGTAATCTTTTACTTGAAAATTTTAATTTTACTTTTTTTTTTTTGTCTTTTACATTTGTAATTTTAATAGTTACAAATTATTAGAACTGCACAAGCTTTTACATGATGATGATGGTTGCAAATTTGTAAATTTTTGTTATATAATTTAAGTGAGTCACATTATTTTTTTTAAATAAAAAATAATTATATAGTGAGCTGTCTTTTTAATATATTAAATATGATCTTTAATTTTATTTTAATTTTTTTTCAAAAATGCATATTGTAGTAATATTTGGAGTCTTCTTAGACATTCTATCCATCTTTAGAGCACCTTTTTTTTTTTTTTTTTTTTTTTTTTTAAATGTATTTGCTTGTTATAAAACGCCTTGTATTTTGTCTGCTTAAACCATATATAAAATAAAGCAAGCTTGCCCACCATTAATGAACACTCTCATGAAGGGGGGAGAGGAGGGGTAGTGCCCCTACAAAACAGTGTACACTCTATTGAGTGGGAATTAAGAATATTTGGTAGAAATCCTTCAAAAACTTTAGCAAATCTAGTGATTAGTTCAAAATAACTCCAATTGCGTAGTTTGGTTCAATGATGAGTAAAACAACTTTGTTTTATTAATCTCTTTGCATGTGTGTGATTTTGTATTTGTTTTCTCTACATTTTGAATAAGGTAAACAAGCTATTGACATTATGATGTGGAGGCAGAGAAGTAAAACAATACATGTGAGAATTTTATTTGGAGCAAATAATATCTACTTTAAACATCACAAACCTAAACAGTTTAATCTTTGTTGGTTCATAACAATAGATTCAAAATGTTTTGGAACAAAATAATTATATAAAACAAAATAAAAAATAAAAACCCTAGACAAAGAAACCGTTATTATTTTTAAATAAGTTAATTTATTCTATACATATACCTCACAGATAATATTATATTCAATCCTTTTTCCTTTTTTTATTTACTTATCAGGTATTATGTTTTTTAACACATCTACCATCAGAGATTGTTTTTACGGATGTTTATAACAAATAATGTTTATAACAAATAATTTATAGTAGTTCTTACAATAATATGTCAATTTATGTTGGGTGAATTTTCACAAATACATAAAACAATAGTAATAGTAATTACAATAATGTCATGTACATCTCCATAGCTTAGTAATAATTCAATAGTGCCATTGTAAAGCAACATGTTTGTAGTATGTTAATTTCAACAACTTAACATATGAACCATATTTACATTTAGACATTTGCTCATAGTTGATTTAAATCTGCATGTTTTTTACATTGATAAAAAGACAAAATTAAAAACAAACATTGATGCATGAATGAGAAGTTAGCCTTTTTTTTTGTATGTAATTTAAGTGAATTGCAGATTTTTTTTTATATTTTTTTTTCCTAAATAAAAAAAAAAAAAAAAAAAAAAATCTTATTCATCAACATAATTACAAACGAATTAGGTTTTATCAACACATTGAATGTTATATTTTGAAATTTCTAGTTGTAAGATTTTGAACACATTTAGTTCAATTATATTTTCAAAAATTTGAATACTATGTGTTTTATATGTGATATTCACATATTGTGTGAGCAAAGTTCATACTATTAATATTTTGTAAAGTGCTATTGGCATTTTAATTTGAGTCTTGTTAGGAGCAAAATGTGTGGTGTTTTAACTGTAGCAGATGGTAGCAGAGCAGAAGTTAGTTGTAGCAGTGGCATTACACTTAGTGTGCCTGTTTGTTCTTACAGTTGTTTCTGTTTTTGAGGGAACTCAAATGAAAAGAAGATGAGAAGAAACAAGAGGAATCATCGTAGGTGTGCTGCTTCTGCTGCTTTGGTGGGAAATGTGCACAATTAGCATGGTGCTTGAAGGAAAGTGATGAGCATTGCTTTTGAAGAAGGTTGCTGACAAACGCCTTGATGCAAAAGTAGGGGGAAATTGAAAAACAGAGAAAGCAAAACAAAACAAAACCAGAAGAAGAAATTGAGAGAAAAGGAGGTGGAGAAGAGGGAGAGACAAAGACATGACAAGGGAGAGATAAGCGGAGGAGAAGGGAGAGCAGAGGGAGAGGGAGAGGGATGGTTATTAGGGTTAGGGTTAGGGTTAATGGGGAGAGCAAGAGGGAAGCTGGGTGTGGTGGTGGTGGAGCGTTTTTGTCATGTTATCTTGCTCCTGCTATTGCTGGTGTTGCTGGAAGAGGAGGAGGGGTGGAGGAGGGTGGAGGCATTGAGTGTGTTGGCGAAGAGTGAGCTGGTGATGTGTGAGCAGTATGGGGGGAGCCCAACTCCCTCCACACCCACCTGCAAGAACATGATGGTCACCACCATCACCGTGACCAACAAGGATGGCGAGGCAGCAGGGGAGCTGAGATTCACACAGTGGAAGTGCAGGGCATCCAATGGGACTGAGCTCAATGTGCGCTACGGCATCAAGATCGTGGTCACCAAAGGGCAGACCTGGCTGTTCTACCCCATCTACTACCAGCGCCATTTCAACTACGCCCCCTTCGAAGAGCTGCTCTACATGAAGGAAGGCGACTGCCAAGACGATGTCCAGCAGCGCGACGTCTCCTGCCGATGGGCTTACGTTGGCAATGTCCGCGTTCAGGATAGCCAGGTATGTTACCCCCCTCCCCCTCATCATCGTGCACTACCTCACACTATTTATTACACATTATGAATGTAACATGTTATACAATATTAGAAAAAAGGATATATTTTATATTAAAATTAATCATATATATATATATATATATATATTCTTTTTTAAGAAATAGAATGCACAATTTGGATTAGATTTGAACTTTTCGACTCTTGAAATTGTAAGAGGTAAAACTAATATTCCAGAAATTTTGAAGTATCTTATCATTCATATTTAAACTTCCTTGTATTCTTAATGAAAAAACATAAGATATCAATAATGTTAGTAAAATTAATCATGAATGATAAACTCACAAACCGGTTAGAAGAAAGAAAAAGAAAGAAAACAGAAAGTTAACAAATTAAAAAGATGGAAAATCAATTGAGTGAAAAAAAATTTCTAAGTTTTAAATAAAACACATACATATGTACGTATGTATGTGATGATTTAAACATATTTCATAATTATGTATTATAAAGTATGTTGTGTGTAACTATGAATTAAAAAAGAATGAATGATGGTGTGGTTTCTTGTTTAGATTAATGAAGAGTATTAAATAAAATTATTATATTGTAAACTAGCTCATGAAAGGTAAAATTAGTAACATATACCATTATTAAAAAAATTGAACACACACACATACATATATATATATATATATATATATACATAGATACACAATACGAATTATTAATCATGTGCATTTTTAAATAATTGTTAAATATTTTCTATGTTGAAGACTAATTGAATGATAGTAATTAGAAATGTTATTAAAATCATATCCTTAGTTGAAATGTGGATCTTATTTATTTATTTATTTTCTACAAGGTATTTCATTTGTATCAATTAGGAGCTTCCATAATGTATCAAACATATTTGTAGAAACTCAAATCTCAAAGTTGTGTTGTTGTTTTACACTGAATAAACTTTCAAAATATAAGAAGTTTTGATAGTATAATGAACCAGCAAATATATAGGCAATCATATTCTACATGAATCTGAATGTTTGATATACTTAATTTCAATTTTAATTTTTTCAAATGAACAGTTTTCTGATAAAATTATTGCTAGTAATTATAGTCCTTTATTTGAAATCTTACTGTTCTTTGTATTTACATGTTACTTACATCTATATCTATGTAATATATTTTTAAATATGCTTGGTAGCTTTTATATTGTCTTTTTTGTAACACACATAATAAGCATAGAAATATCACGTTACAAGAACATACAATGAACCACATATTTGGAGGGTTTAGTTTAAATTATTACTCTTCTCATTCATTTTCTTTGTTTAGTGGAATATCGTTCCTTTAAACTAGTTAGATTTTTTTTTTTTTTTATTTATTTATTTATTTTTGTAAGGGTAAGAGGGCTTAATTTGTACTAACTAGAAATATCTTTGGTGGAACTTATGGAGTAGTAGAAATATATACAATATATATATATATATATATTGTAAGAGTGTTACTTTATTGTAAGAGTGTTACTTTGTGACTGAAAACATAGTGTTTTAAGAACCAGCAACTACTCACGGTAAACAAAACTTTACATGTATACAACATTTTAAAAGCTTAACAAAAACAGAATAAAACAGGAGAGACTCGGTGTTGAATACTGCAAGAAAATTATTCTTTTTATTTAGTAGATGATAAAATATTCATATAATTATGCTTATAATTAACAGTACTTTATATATTTAACAAAAAAATAAAAAATAAAAACATAACATAAATTATTCTGTATGTATTGATTACTGTCTGTATGTGTAGTGATACAATTTTGTTTTGAGGACACCAGTTTAATAATCCCTTGTAATTTCCAAACAACTTCAAAAGTGCAGTTAATACCTTTTTGGTGAATAATTTCAATTCTTTTTGTCTGAATATAGTAAAATATTTATGTTAACATGTCACACATTGCATGTTTTCGATAAACCTGAGATTTATTTGGCTAAATATTGTTATTTGTGGGCTTTCAATGATGCATAGAAATCTATTTTTGAATCAATTTATATGTGAGTGGCGAAAAGTCAAAAAATTACTCAAGTTCTAATAATTATAACAAAAATGGCGAATTTTTTTAAGTCTACAATTCTCCAATATTACTTTAATTTTTTCTTATATTGAAGCAACTCCAGTTCTGAGGCATAAGAATTTAGTCTGCAGATACAAACATTAATCATTCTAAAATTCTGAAGTTTCTTCTTTCAACTCTCACGCATTAAAATGAAAGCAAACATTAACGAATTTATTTTTACATCAAAATATTGGATGTTTCTTAAAATGACTCATACAACATTGTGTGGCACATGAATAGTCTTTAAATAAGGTTGGAAGTTGATTTGATTGGAAATTTCTTCCTTTGAGTCTCACTTATTAGGATTTAGCATTAAAAGTCTATATGTTCCCTGAGGCAATATACAAGATAAATTATTTAATACTTGCAGTGCGTTTTCTCTTCTTTTTTCATCTTCTTTTTATTCTTTTTTCTTCTGCAACTTTTCTTCTTTTTCCTTTTCTTGACATAGAGAAGTGATACAGCATGTAGAAAGGAATTAAACATGAAGCTTTTTTTTGGATTTTTTTTAAAATAACAAAATAATACTTTACAATATCATTACTTGCATCATCAGTAAAAGCTAAATTTGTTCACTATTTTTTCTAAAATATCCTGCATGCTTTAAATCAAATCGCACAACCACCAAGTGCATTTACTTGATCTCTTGGCAATAAATGTTTGCAGGGATTTTGTTGTAAGTGTGGAAAACCATCTTGGTTCAGTAATAACGGAATAAAATCTCTTACATATCGTGGCGGAGAACCAATGCATTGTAAGTTATTCAAATTGTAAAATATAATATACATATAAACATATTTACTCTTTTCAAAATATTGACTTATTATCTTCTGATTTACACATTCTTCATTTGAAACATTATAGATCTTTTGGAATTTATTTCAACGTTCAAGTTTGCACAAGCTTTGAGTGCTTTTTGTAAAGCTCTAACAATAATAATTGTCCTGAACTAGTTTGAGACTTGGTTAAAAAATAAAAAATGAAAAATAATTTGAAACATGAATATTCAATTTAAGAAACCATAGTTGGTTCGAATTTATATCTCTAGTATAAGTGCAAGGCATCAGTGACAAAAGCCTTCACATGAAAGTCTATTGTTGATGAAAATTTCAACAAGCAAGAGAGTGGTTTAATGTTTATGATGCCTCGTGTGAGAAGCATAGAAAGACTATTGAATGAAATATATATATATATATATATATATATATATATAAAATCAAATTAAAGATTAAGTTGTGTTACGTAACACAAAAATTTACAGTTCTCTGAATGAATTTCAATGTCATCTTTTTCATTTTTTACTAAGAAATTACTAATGCTAGTATGTATTCACATATTTATGAGGTTTACAAACAAGTTTTTACAAGCAACATTAGTACTTACATACATTTCATCAAAAAATAATTTTCATGGCTTTCATAGGCATTCTATGCTTGATACTGTTGAATTTAACCAGTAAAATGAAATATTGTAAAGTAATCATACTTTTTTTACGTCAAAATCTTGTTCTAATAAATAATTTCTCTTCTAAATTAATATAATATTTTTGAAAATTATATCACTGAAAATTTAAATGGTTTCTCAGATAAAAATAATAATTTCTGAAGTATCTCTTGACACCTCTAACTTTAATGAGATTGATAGATGTAAGCATAAATATACCAAAATAACATATTGAAAATTATACCCCTCTTTATAAGGTAATATGTTTATATAATTAAAAATTATTATTCCTAAAGATTATAACCTAATATTGTAGCTTGATACAGAATATATGGATTGTGTATTTCCCATTTACAAAATAAAATGTAGTATGTTAATAAGATAAAAATAATATTTAAAATTTAATTAGAAATTATCATAAAATATTTACAATGAAAAAAATGAAAATTAGTCATGTAAGCCAAAGATAATAAATAAGTTATTGAATCAAAATATCACTACAATTAGAATCAACCATTATAAGTATTTGTCTGATCATGACTGTTAAGAAAACAAATTTAGTAATATTTTGGATCTTTGATACTTACAAGTGTAATCTCAAAGTAAAGACACAGCACTTCTAATCATCCATGCTTATGCATATTGATGGATACAAACATTGCCTATCCATATAACTCTCTATGAATAAATATAAAATGCCATAATAGCAACAAACTACATGTCTCATTTAAAATACAAAATAATGAAGAATACATACATACATACACATTTTACATAATGATAGTCAAGTATATTTTAATGTATATATATATATATATGATGTCTAAAATGCCTCCAACATACCTAAATTTGACAATCATGAGAATAACCTTTAAAATAGCAATTTGTAGTAAATGCATTGACTATTTTACTTAGTTTTGATTTTCTAGAATTGTAATAAACTCAGCTTACTCTCATTGCCTTTATTTTCAAATGAAGATTTGTGAGATAATAGAATAAAAGTATTTATTATAATTATTATTATCATTATTTTTTCATGTGTGTGTTTTGTACTTCAATAAACAATTGTTTCTTCAAAGATTTTGTTTTATACTATCTAACTATCTAAGTAAATATTCACTTGAATATGTGTGTATATATATATATATATATATATATATAGTTTTTAAAACACTTATATAAATGATGTTTAATTTCTATAGTAATTTTTAGTTCACAATTTATTTGATGATGTAGCAAACCTTGATATTAATTTTGTATTTTATTTCACTTTTAGTATGATTATTCATGAATATCAGTTCACAAGAATGTATTTGATAACTAGGATCCCTTTACTTTTTTCAACTTTTCAAATTTTTTTAAGAAGATCTATTAACTCAAAAGACATTGGTATAAATCCTTGTTTATTAGAGTAATGATATATATATATATATATATATATAGCAAGAGAGAGAGAGAGAGAGAGAGAGAGAGAATATTTTATATACATAAAGCTAGTAACAATATATTCCAATAAAAAAATAACATGTATATGGTGATGATTTTTAATCTTAATTTGAAGTTATAAAATAAGACTTTACATGTGTTCATGTAGGTGACTATAAATTTGAATACTGGAATAGAAGACAATCTGCTTCTTGTTTACGTTGGGGTTCAGACTGGTTGGTTAAATTTCTTGATCCCTTTATTGTTTTACAATATATATATATATATATATATATATATATATAATTTATCAGTATTTCAAATAAAATCAAAATCAAAAGTTGAAACTGAAGAAATAAGATATTACTAGCTTTATTATTGGAATATATTGTCAATGTTAAAAAAATATAATGCTACAGTATTATAGGTTTATAACCTCATTAATTTAACATGATATTTTGATGTCATTCTTGTTATAAATAATGACATCAAAAACTTGTGTTGACTGTTGCTAAAACATGCTTATGTCATAATTTTTGAGTTCAGTCCTACTTCCAAAAACTATTGAAAAAGGAAAGAAAAATTGGCATCCAGGTGGGTTGGATACACTGTAAATGAGCCAAGGCTGAGATTCAAAATTGTCACAAGTTTCTCTTATGAAAAGAGATTTGATGATCCAAGCAACAAACCAGCTCCTGGTGGTGGATCTGTAATTAAAATATACTCCTATCCCTTCTACTACATCCTCAGTTTCAGTTTTTCAATATTGTCACTTATTTTTGCATCTTTACAACATTTTTGGGCAATAACCTTAAAAATCAGATGTGATCTGCTTCTGTTTTGTTTGTGTGTATTTGCAACCACTGGATCAAATGTAATGTCAGGAGAAAAATTAATAAATTTTAATCTCTATTTTCAATTCCCCAACGAAATATTTATAAATATTTATAAATTTAAGTCTCGTGTGTGCTTGTGTATTCTAAAAAAATATATTTATGTAACGAAGAAAAAAAATAAAAAAAAAAATAATGCACAGTAGTTTATCTGAAAAAAAAAAAAGAAAAAAAAAAATACATGTTGCAAAGAAACATCTTGGTGAGCAGAATGTCATATATATATATATATATATATATATATATTATGAAATTTGAACTGGAAAATATGTAAAATTTTCTGTTGTATGGAATTTGATTGATTCATAGAATAATTCATTGTAACTTGTACACAAACATGTCTCTAATAGATAAGAAAAACTTGTTTTTGAAGGAATTGTTGACTGTTTCTCCAACCCAAATGGAAGCTACAAATAAAGATCGTAATTGCATAGTGCACTTAGCTGGAGACTTTTTGAACTATAGATCTTTTCCGCAACTGAATGATGTTTACCTTTTCACACCCAACGCAGGTAATAATTTGTGCAAGGAGTGAAAAATTATTAATTTAAATGAAATGAAACAAATCAATTTGTGCACAATGCTAAACTGTTTTCATTTAATGTCAAATATTCATTTCTTAAGAATGTCATTGGAAGCATTGTATAAGAGTACTTAGTTTCATGTGGATTTTAAGTGTAAATTTCACAATGGTGGTATTAATGAATTTTTTTACAAAGAGAATGATTGTGACTGGATGATAGATGATCCACATGACAATCCATTTCAGAAAAGAGTGAAATGGCTTTTGATACCCAAAGGTCATGTGACGGATGATGGGCTTGAATGCAATAAAATTGGGGTGGGTTTTACACCATTTCGGATTCAAGAAAGAGGATGCTATGAACCCGTGGGAACTTGTTTGGCATCACAACTCTGGACTTTTGCACAAGTAAACTCAAATACTAGACTCACATATATCAGTAACATACACATCTGCACCCATGTGAGTGTATATATATATATATATATATATACACATACCAACACACATTCATGGATAAACTCAATCTGTCTCTTCCATTGTTGATATAATTCAATTTGTTGTACACAAATATACAAATGCTGAATTGGCTAAAGTATGTGTTATTGTACTGTAGATGTTCCTCTTCTTCTTCTTCTTCTTCTCCTTCTTCTTGAAGAGTATGATTATTACATTAAACTTGTGTGGGTGTAAGAGTAATAATGTTGTGTTGGACTACTTATCATGTCAGTAATTGTGTGAAAACTCAATCAGTGGCATGGGAAGTAGTGATTTGTATGAACATGCAGATGTCCATTTCTCATCTTGATTTTCTACTTAGCTTTGTTTTATTTATTTATTTTACTTATATTTTGTGCAAATTGATACAACTGATTGTAGGCTGAAGCAGCTGCATGTGCATTGGTTCCCCCAAGACCCATTTTCTCGGTTTTAAAAGAAGGAGTTGTTGATTTGAGAATACATGTATGTATGTATGAGAAGATGGGTGTTTGGTAAAAAAATGATTTGGACTGTGCCTGTGTTGATGAGAATGATCAGCATGAGGAACTATCTTCACAGATCTATTATTATTATTATTATTATTATTATTATTAAATCTGTAAAAAAAAAAATTTAAAAAGATGGAGAACTCATGTGTTTCAAAATCACATGAGGGCATTAAATTATCAACTTATTTTTAATTAAGTTACACATATACAAATAAATAAAGCAATGTATATATATTGTGTGGAATAGAATTTTGAAGGAGACCCTGATTCTAGAGTGTTGACCATCACACTTGATCAAATTATGACATCAGTTGTAACACTTGAAGTGGAAGCCTCTGGGATGGAATTTTTTGTGAACAGGTAAAACCATTTTTTTCTTTTTTTAAAATCCATACATCCAGGATCTTACTAAATAAAAATGCATGTTTTACATTTAACTCAATTTTTTTGAACTGTTCATTTTAAAATTGTTCCTTCTGTATGTTTGATTTTATCTTTTGTATACAAATAGGTCTCCAGGTAAGATCATAAGTGCTTCAGTGCCCACATTTGAAGCATATACGCGCTATGGACAAATGGAAGTTGTTGTTCAAAATACTGGAACTATAGTATCTTTATATTTCATACAGGTAATTTAACCTCAGAACTTACATATATACATATTCAATAATATCATCATGTAATGGAATGTAACAAATAGTAGAGCTTTTATACTTGTTCACATTATTCTAATATATTTTTATTTTTGATTATTTTTCAAACACTTGCAAGCAGGTCCATGCTTGTTCTTCTGGCATCATAGACCCAGAGGTATGCATTTTGTAATGCTTTTGAAAAATGCATAATTTATTTGTTGTATGGTGAATTGCAATTATTAAATATTAATCTAAAAAAGAGGGATTAAAACTAAGATCAAGATACTTAGAATTATAAACACATTTGTAAAGTTTGGGAACAGCTGATTGGAAATGAGTCTGTTGGGCTCTTTTGTCCATGCAGGGTCCTTTGTCTAATTTGTATGTATTATATCACAAGAATGCTGCTGTGTGTGTAATTAGAGGTCAAGTGGGTTATTTGACTGAAATGGATTATGGAGGATCTTATTAAAGGATTCTATAACAGCTCCCCCTCCTCACTAAAACAACAACCAACATTAGATTCTAGCTGGAATCAATTCTCAAAATTTTGATTACTTGTTGGGGGTTATTAGTTTTTCGGGATTAATTACCAGAGGGACAACTTACTTCCAAACCAGAGTGTTTCTAAAATTATCATTATTATTTTTTCATTGCTTCCAAAGATTCTACCTCACAAATATTGTATTTTGAAAGCAGTTACTATTAATAATTATTATCTGTCTGCTATATTTATATACATGTGTGCACACATGTATATAAATATATATATATATATATATATATCTGTCTGATTGATTACTTTTCTTTAATGACACCTAACTATGTCTTGAATCTTTTTTGATAAATATATGATATTCATATTTATGATTCAAGAAACTTTCATCTATAGTATAAAGTTCTGTCCAGTTTAACTACCTTTAAAATAAATAAGTGTTGATTTTATTTTTTTATTTTTATTTTGTAGATTCCACCTCTTCATTATCCAATTATTTGAACAATGTTCATGAATATATATATATATATATATATGTATATGCAGCCATATTGAATCAAGATACATATATATATATATATATATTTATTTATATACATGTGTGCATGTGAATATATATATGTATATATATATCTATATGTGTGTGTGTGGGATGTGAAGGAGAAGCAAGAGACCATAGCACCAGGTGCCTCAGCCACAGTCAAATTTGACCTGGAAACAATTGATGATAAGGCCAACATCCACACCTGCAAAGGTATCACCCACTCACTCACTAACCCCACACTTAATTACACACTGCAAAGTAGTAGTAGTAGTAGTAATAATAATAATAATAATAGAAGTGGTAGAAGTGGGGGTTGTGATGGAATGTGCTCCTCAACATTCCATTCTATTCATCATCTGCACAATCTTGCTTTTTTGCAGTGGACTTGCTGGATTCATTTGCAGTGAATGTGTTCTCTCAAATCTGCCAATTTCAAACAACCCAGACTGAGAACTCCAAAGGAGACCAGGTATTGAACACAATTGATAATGTTGAAAGTAAACTACTCACAACAAGTCTGTTTTCAATTCAACGCTTTGATGGTGAACTCTTACTTTTCTGTACAAATTTTGACTGTAAATTTAAAGAATGGTTTTAAGTTTTGAGGCTCTGATTTGGAGTGTGGTTTATTTTGGAAAACATTTATGGATCAATAATTGATCCATAATTCAATATCAGACACAATTATTGATCAAAATGACTGTGTGTGTGTGTGTGTGTTTTTTTTGTTAAATAAAAAAATTGGGGATTGTATGGTGTGGGGCAGTCAGGTGTGGTTCTGGATAAGAAGCCTCTTGTCAATTACACAAGCTCCTGGAGTTTTAAGAACCCCAAATCCTGGTTCAGTGGTTGGAGCTTCATGGGCAAAATATTTCATGGCAGCATTTTTGGATCATGCCAGTATGTTCCCCACCACAAAAGCCTCTATACCTTACACTTTGTTTATGCATTTGATAAAATTTAATACATGTATTGATGGAAGAATTTCATGTAAAATATGAATGGCTCAACCTTGTTGAATTATTTGAATAAATTGATTAAATATGAAATAAAATTCAATTTTATAAACTAATATCTCAATCTTCACTAAGTAGCCATGGATATTCCTAATAAATTGAGTGAAGAAATGCTAAATAATTTTTTTCATCTAATGTTCTATCTAACCTCTGAATTTAAATTTCTTTTAATTCTTCCAGCTGTGACTAGTTTGTTTACTCTGTACCAATCTAGTGTGAAAACTTAACTTTTTAATATAAACTCAAAGACTCCATTTATAGAATTTTGAAGTGATTCTAGTATTATTTTTTTATTTTTGTATCATTAATGTATATGTATATATATATATATATATATATACTTGATTGAAGATTTTTTTTTAAAAAAATTATTTAATTACTTATTTGCAAGTAATACTTTAGGTCATAATAGTAACAAACATATTTGATTGTATTTTGTTATAATTCTATTGCTTTTTTGGGTTGCTTGTGCCCATATATACATACATATTTATGTTTTTTTTAAGGAAAATCTGATTTTATCCATTATATATATATATATATATATATATATATATGTGTGTGGGAATATTAAATAGACTCAAGTTTTTATTAAATCAACCTACCCATCCTAACCATCATGAAAAAAAAATAATGACTTCTATATTCATTTCGTTATTATTAGAATTTGCAACCAATAAAAACCAACCACATTCATCATGATAACCATATTCTTCATCAAAGGTGGGTCTATTTAAAATTATTATATATATATATATATATATATATATATTTATATATAAATCCAAATTCTATTTAACAATATATTTCAATAGTAAAGAAAACTATTTTGAGTTATTTTAGATTGTAAGAGCAACTTTTTTTTATACATGTATTTTAAAACATGTATCATTTGAGAAATGATTCTATAAATCTAAAATCAAATTGAGCTATTGTGTTTTCTAATATCATAATTTGATTCAAATTTACTTTACTTCTTTATATGTATATAAATAAGAATATCAACTTGTTTTTGTAGTGGACTTCGAAAAAAATCAAAAGTATTTGTTTTTATAGACATATATTATTTAAATATGTAGAAATTTTAAAATAGATTAAGAATCTTATTTCAATTAAAAATTAGATTTGGCTCTATTTTCTTAAACCGCCTGACATAAAATATCCTTGCATTTGAAACAAATATTGTACAAGAATTCAATTTTTTAAGACTTTCTTATTATATATATATATATATATATATATATATATTCAAAATACTCTTAAAACATTGATTCATATCTGCAATTTTTATTTATGTTTTTTATCCACTAAGAAATATACATTTTTAATCTGTGTAAATATTGACTACACCCTTACAAAATAATATAATATAACAAAATATTATTATAAAATGTAAACTCGATAAATAATCATGACTGTGAATATTTTAATTTAAATCCTTTTTTTGATCATCAGTTGCTAAAAAATATTTCTTTCTTGACTTAATATCAATTAAAAAATTGTATTGTATTTTGTAATAAATTTAAATGATCAAATAATAATAAATTCAAGTTATTTAATTGTTGTTCCATGTATTTATAAACAGAATGCCATGGTTGAATAAATCTAGATTTTATTCAGCTGATATATAATATAAATAAATAAATAAATAATATATATAAATTTATTTATTTTGTGCTTTTATTTAATCAATAACATATTCTACAGATAAAAGATAATACCATCAATATATATATATATATATATATATATATACATTGAAAACTCATTTTAGTAGTGCAACATTTTAATTTTAGAAATATTACAATTCTAGATCTATACAAACAAAGTACTTAGCATGTGTGGGATTACAAAACATTTGTCAATTTAAAGAAAAATTAAGATTTAAAAGTTAGTAAAATTGCACTCATTATTTGAATTGAAGAATATTCGGTGTTATTTATACTAATTTCTTCAATTTTTTCTAGAATTTCAATTATTTCTAGAATTTCTTCAATTTGACTTCAATTTTTTAAATTAACAATTAATTGTTTGTTTTAGAAATCCTTAAATATGACTTCTTTTCAAAACAGTTTTTCACTTAAATTCTTATAATTTATTTATTTAGTTATTTAGATGTACTTATATGAAATTCCTCTAGATCTAAATGTCAATTTTTTAAGTTCACTTTTGTGATGATCTTGTAATATAATTTTGCTGCAAAATCATCAAGCTGGATCCAATTTCAACGTTTATTGATTATACGTCAGATAAATCTAAAAATTTAACCATAATTGTTGTGTTATTTGTTTTTATGTTTTTATTTTGAAAATATAATTTAAAATTCTTATCATATATATAATCAAATAATTTGATATTCAACCATTAATATGTAAGTTCCTTCTAAAATAATAATTCTTGAAACGATTTATAAATCAGTTATCACAACTTTTTATGTGGTCCTTCTTTAGAATCAAACTCATTCCTATTGTAGTTAGCATATGATTTCTTTATTTTTATATAGTTGATCAATATTGCTTATAAATAATCAATTAAATGCAAAGTAATTTTAAAAGCATAAATTTGTTCTCCTTGTAAAGCCAACTACTTTTCAGTATATATTTGTTGTTTTATTCATTTACATTATTTTTTTTTTTATCATGCACAAGATACACAAAGAATTTTTTTGATATCATATTTTATGACCTTCATTTTGGCACCTTTGCATTTATCAACAATTACTTAGTTCGCATATATAACTCAGACAATGTTTTCTGTGTTATTGAAAATTTTGATTTTCTTGAGTACTCAAGAAAAGTTTTTCGAAAAACTTTTTGGTTCAATTTTTTGAAAATAGTAACAAATACACGGGTTCAGATGATGCAAAAGGATGCTAACGGTCATGTAAATATTTTAGACAAGATTCAGAAGGATTACTTGAATAAACATGTAATAGAATATTTGTAACATGAACATGTCCAGAAGATTATCTGAATATGTCAATAAAAAAATATCAATCATATTTAACTTCTAAACATTAAGGCGTCCATGAACATGATAAAAAAATTGTAGTTAATATGAATTTACAAGGTTTCAAGACATTTTTGTGTTGGTTTTCATAAAACAATATGCTTATATATATATATATACACACACACACACACACCAATAGTCATTGGCACCAAAATTCGTGATCCATGTCTATCTATTTTCATAGAAAGATATATATATATATATATATATATATATATACATATCATTTTAAAAAACTGATAGAAGAAATCGTACAGAAACTATACTTCATTATTCATATGAATGTATTTCTATATTTTTTTCAATAAATTCTTAGCTTCATAAAAACTTTTCAAAATGTTATAATAAAGTTTCTTTTTTTTTTTCTTTTTTTTTTTTTTGTTTGTTTTACCTGTTAAACTGTATGTTTTAAACTGTGATCTTTGTCAACAAGTCAAAATATGAGCAAAGATATAATAATATACTCTGTGGCAGTAAAAGATGATATTGGACAACAAAAATTTATATTTAAAGTATGAATTGGACTTAATGAATTCTAGATTATATGACATGGAGATGCTAAAATACAGAATATCTGTGTACTTTCAATCTCACATTAATAATATACATATATACATACATATATTTATACATATATCTACATATTTAAATACATATTATTTAATATTTTAAATTATACTTTAAAAATCTATTACGTGTTTTAAAATTAAAATCTTTGTGATGATTTTTTCGTGTAAAATTCTTATAAGAACTTCAAACTATTAATGCTAAAACCAATTATCACAAAAATCATGAAAACAGACAATGTAATTTCTTCAATATTTTATGTGCAATGAAAAGACTGTGTTGGTCACGCATGGTAGAATCCCTTGGATTTATTTTACTGATTGTTGCAGGTAATCTCACTACATTTTTAAAACATTGTACTTGTATTGAGTTACATCATAATTATTTGAATTCATTTACATTCCTAAATTTATGTAAATATTATTGTTGATTGCATGTGTTTGACATCAATCACACTATATTATTGGGATTTGATTCAATGAATAATGAAAAACTATAAGTTAGAAGTATTCCAAAAGATGCATATGCTACACATGCTAAATCGTATAAAACTGTTTTAAGCACACATTTTCATTTCAATCGTTTTTTTTTATTTTAATGCCAGACTATTCTTAGTTATTGTTTTTTGAATTATAGTGGTCTTTCAGTACTGCTAATATCCTTCACCAACGTCAGAACTAATCTTTTTCTTTTCATTTTTTTTTCCCTATTACTCTAGCTAATGTAAGGTTGTTGAATTTAATATCGCTTTGATTTGGATCAAATATTCAGATCAATTTCTCCTTACAATCTAAAATATTCGTTATTTTTGTGAGCCTTGCTCATAATTTAAAATGTGAAATTTAAGAATGAAAATGTTTTGGGACTGAAGAGACTTTAATTTTCACTACTCAAATAATAACTCTGTATCTTCTTTGCCACCTGATTACACTCATACTGTGTTATGGAATGAATATTAGTAGTTTATGAAGCATTTCATTGTTTGTTTTCAACTCATAACATGATAGATTTATTTTGTGACTACGTTATTATATATATATATATATATAAATAAAGGTTGTTTTAAAAGTAGACATTTGGTTTTAGAACCTCATAAATGCATTTTTGAATGGTATATTTACAGGATTCATTGCATTTGGATATTTAAATAAAAGTGGTCTTATAACTAGTCTATTGAAGAAAATACTTGCTCTTACAAAAGGATGTAGTGCACTCGGCAAAAGTTCTTTCTTCTCAAAAACATCTCGTTCATTACAGCAAGGAAGTTCAAAGTTTATGGTCTTTCTCAAAAAAATTATTAAAATGCCTATGGAAAAATTAAGGAAGATTGCCAATCCCAAAAAACTCATGGGTAAAATGAAAATGGGAAAATTGAAATCAACTATATTTGGAAACTATCAAAAGAGTATTGGTAAATTAAAAGAAACATTCAAAAATGGTGCACACAAGTTCAAAGGTGGAAAAAATCGTTTTATGAAAAAAAACAATACGAATACATCTATAAGCCACACTGTAAAAGGAGGGAAACGGTTCAGTAAAAAGGTAAAAGAACCCCCAAAACTTGGAAATGAGAAAAGAAAAGGTAAAGAGGAAGAAGATGAAGTAGAGGAGGAAAGTTCAGAAGTAGAAGATGAAAATGACAGTGATAATGATGAAGAGCCAGAAGATGATGAAGAGGAACCAGATAATGAAGACGACAATATCAATGAAAAAGTTAGATCTCACCAAATCAATAAGAACAAATCAAAACAAACAAAGGCTAGAAATAAGAAACTTTCAAAATCTAAAAAACATAAACAGGCCGATAAGGAGGAGGAGGAGGAAGATGACGATCAAGATGAAAGCGAAGATGAAAACGAAGATGCAAGTGAGCATGAAACGGTTGCAAAAAGTGTGAACAAGGCAAAAAGGCAAAGCAATGACCCCGTTGGAACATCCAATAATATTACATTAGCTCCCTTTGCAAGAACGGGAATGCCACCCTTGCCACACGAGAGTCCATATACTTTCAATCCATATCTTGCCCCTCAAGTGGAGCCCCCACATGGTTACATTACCAACAACAACAACCCTTACCTTAACAACCCAATGCCCCCAAATGTTTCATACATGCAAGATCAAATGCAATACTATGATCCCTACTTGCAAAACCAAACACTATCGTATGATCCTTATCAACAAGACCCCATGTTGCCACTGTATGATCCACAAATGCCAGATCCTAATCAAACAAACTATTACAACGGCACACAATTGCAATATCAACAGCCAGTTACTCAGGAATATGAAGGAATTATTTCTCAATCTCAACCTCATGAAAACTATGACGATTATGAAACACAGAATGCAACTGATTTATCTCCAATCATAGGATACAACAATGAAACATATTAATTAGGTGTTACAGATATTTGAGCTAACATCTTTTCTACAAAATATTATACCTTGCATATTCATTTTCTAGATAGCAGCGGCTTTGTTTAAAATAATATTAACATTAACATAAACTAGTCAAAACATTAGTTTAAGTTAAAGACGTAAATCCTAGATTAGCTACAATCACAAAAATTAATATAGCCAATCAACAAAAAACTTTAAAGTTTGACTCAACTTGACAGAAGGATAAACGATCTGCTGCATCAACACAATAAAAGCAGCTCCGCTGTTTGTGCAGAGCAGAATGTCGTAATAAAAACCCGCATCAGATACTCAAACGAAGAACCAACAAATAATGTAGTAAACAAATTCAAACACGATAATTTTTTTTGATAATTCAGGCTTAACATATTCCCTTGGTAGAGGCAAACTACTTGTGTTGCACTGCAACATATAGCTAGCCATACATACTTTACAGCTTGCTTGATGTAGTTAGTCAGATATTCTCTGATACAGTTGTCTCGACGGATGTCTCGACTGACTTCAAATCACACACATCGCCACGACAGAGAGGGCACACCCTGGAACAGCACCGAAAGTTTGAAGACAATTAAGCGATGAGCGTCAACCAAGAACACAATCGAATAAAAAATACACTTGTAGCAATCAATTTCATCCTCATTCCCAGGTGGGGACAAGAACAAAAACACAAACCGTTGTAGAACAGTATACCCCAACCAACAGCTCTTAATCTGGAAGGAAAAACAATACCTGTGAACCTCTTTCAGCCACTTGTCAACACAATCTTTGTGATATTCATGCTGACAGGGAAGAACCCTTATCTCGTCTCCATCTTCATACTCCACCAGACAGATATGACACCTAAGCACCACAAAAGCGTTAAAACATATCAGGGGTACATCATCTAGACACCAAAAGCCTAATAAAGACCAAGAATTATAAAATAAGATTTTCTAAATGTCAGAACAAATAACATCGTAGACTAAAAAACAAAATGACCCTGCTGTAATTGCTCGATGATAAGCCACCAAATAGCAATCGCTGACTTACTGCACAGCTTCGTTACAAGCAACTGCAGACTTGCTCAAATAAATGCGAGTTGGAAAGCTGTCCACAATGGTTGAAGGAGCAGGAAGAGAAGCTCGTGACATAGTTGCAGACCTCGAAAGCGCCACAGATTGCCTGTGTATTTCATCAAGCACCTGAATTTCACAAAATCCAAACAGAAATTAAGTCTTGGTTGTCGTCTGCCATTGCAATGAAATATATGGGCACCTGACATGATACGGCTGAGTGCCTCGCACCGATCTGATCCCATTCGTTCTTGAGACCATACCTCGAAAAGAGCTTCAGCCAGCATAATGATGCGAGAGATGCTAGCCCTTGTGTTCGTATCATCAACCGGTCCTTGCGCTTCGCAAGAGCAACGATGCCCGTGATGGTTTACAGTGCATGTCCTAGAATGCCAAGGAACTCCCTCCAAGCCATTGCTCAGACGTCGAAGAGCCCACACCTACAGCAAAATACTGAATTCAAATCCGCATGCAAGCTTAGAGCCATTGAATGAGAAGACTCTATGAAAGAGAAATTGACGAGCGAAACCAGCAGACATCACGGGAGGATGAACACACCTGCGATCTAACCCTTCTCCGTCGTTCCTCTAGATCTAGAGTCCTGCTGCTGTGTAAAATACCCACCCCCACGCTATCAACATCGTCGATTGATATAGCATCCTCAATGTCGTCACCCACTGCAGCTGTTGATGCGGTTGAGCGACGATGTGAAGTTGCCCTTGACAAAGCGTCCCACAGCCTCCTCCCATTTGTGCGCCTGCTTTCTCGACCTGGTACGCTATCGAGTCTCATTCCTAATCTATCTCCAACAGGAGGACTTGCACGACCTGAACTTGGCACGGAGCTGGAAGGCCCTGCATAACCACCTTGCCACAAATCTGAGTGATCCAAGACCTGCACAAAGGAGGGCGACGCCCAGGCAGACATATCATGAGAGTCTCGACCGCTTCCCGAGGTGAAAAGCCCTTGATGTACCGTGCCTGACATAACTTCCATGCGACGCTGAGCTTCAACTGTTTCTGTCGCCATAAGACCTCGTCTTTCTAGCTCATGTAAATCAAGGGCAGGTGGAAGTCCTGCACATCTCCGAAGCTGTTCCTGCATTTCGTTCACTCTCTGCCGCCGCAGAGTAGTCGCACAAGCCATATGCAACCTTTCATTTGACAACTGCCTACTACCTTCTTCTTCGAGAAAGATGTCTCTACCATCTTGATAAATTTCTCGTGAGGATCCTGTTCTAACAGATGGAAGTAATGAAGTTGTAGGATAAGGAGTTGTGCTCGAAGATCCAGCCTGTGCGCTACCAACCGCCTCCAATTCAACCATCAGAGTAGGGCTCCCGTTACCTGTCAGATCAGGATAAGATGTACACAGCGAGGAATCGCTGCTGGTGCCACTGCCAACTCCGAGAAGTCGCGCAGGATCAGCAGATACACTCCTACTTGCTGATCTATGACTTTCGGTGCTCCTTACAATGTACCCTTCCCTGACATTCTCAGGACTTAAATGGCGTGGTTGTTGCGTAGCACCACGTGATTGCACGAACTCCTCAATACTCGCATTCTGAAATATGAATGCACGCGCAAATTGTGAGTGCAGCAGCTTCAGAAATATGCCATGTCACGTCACACTGTGAATAGAAAACCTTCCCCATCTAGGGATAATCAACCAGCAATCAAGCAGTACATAGTCTCCTAGCTATATGGCTGTGAGCTTAAGCTATCAAGGCGTATTAACAACATTTGAATTGAACTAAAATCCTGGAGTCATAAACATAAATGTCCTTATGAAAACTTCGCAACAAGAATGAACGGGTGCAGTATGACTCCATCAAAACTGTGAAATCAATCCGACACGATCATAAACCCCAATGGTTTCCATCAAAAACTTGGTCCGAAACATAGAGTGGAGCTGAAACAAGAGCTGTACGCCAGATGTGAAGTATACATTATAAAATGTCGTATACAGCAAAGGATAGGTGGGAAACTCACTGGGGTCTGAGATCGATGGGAAGCTGTGCGACTGGCAGCAGAGCCCATGCTGAGCAACACGCAGAGAAGAGTGAGGAAGAGAGAGGGCAGCGCACATGAGGCTCAAAAAGGCTAGGGTAGAAATGTAATTGTATGAAGTAAGATGCTGTAAGGTATAAATCTGTATGCACCAACGGCACGTGAAACTCAGTGTTGCAAAAAGGAAAAAAAGACTCGTCTGAAGATCCAGTAACTTGATGATGGCTAGCTCCAAAATCGTAGGAGGACCAAGAACGGAAAGAAGTTGTCCAGTGATGTTTGATGCAGGACCAATTATGCATCTACTCTTTGATGCCCATCCCCCTAAAGCATACGCATCTTTTTGATGCTTGACCTGTCCCTACCCTCCTGCCGTGGCAAATCGTGACGGCCACGGTAAATGACGGAACGTGCACGACCATGATACGTCTGTTTCGGAACAAATCACAATATCGCTCCCGTATCCATCAATTCGTTGTCCAGCTTTTCATATCACTGAAATTCTCCTAGCATTTCTCAAGCACCAAGAAGATCAGTACCACACCCAAAAAAACACGAGAAAAAATATATAACCAATTCTCGAAAACACAAGCTCTTCGCATTAGGTGAACATATTGGTGAACCCTTAAGATAATTAAGCGAAAAAAAAAAAAAAAAAAAAAAAAAAAAAAAAAAACCGATTGCTTATCCTCGAAGTAATGAAAATGTTGATATTGAATTCAACACTGTTAAAAAACTTGGGCATAATTAAATTCATTATTAATTGTCTGTTGAACAATCACAGCGAATGGTAGACATATCTGCTCACCTGACTGTATTTAAGATGGGCTGGTTCTTGTAAAGCAACAGCACTTATCCTGCACAAATAAAGCAGGATAAATGTAATAGACAGTAACATATTGTTTGAGCACTTTTAAGAAGCAGTGTGTTGTCAGCTGCACATAATAAACAAAAAATTCCGATAGACCAAGCCACCGCAACAATATCATCATCCATGAGGAAAAACAGATAGTGAGAATTCAATAGCAGTGCAGAGGACTAGTAATCATTGGGGATGACAAATTCAGAGCAGTGCTTTTACTGATGCATTCCTAAATACGCAGTTCTCACGCATAACCTAAGTGTCTCCGCAAATGTAACTAGGGTGCTCAAGAAGAAATTATTCTCAAAGAAGAGAACCTGTAATTCACTACGATAACGCCCATCATGTCACTACGTCACCCACCCAAGTATGTAATGCGTTGACGTACCCATTCCAGATCAGATGCAGATGCTGCGTTTCGTACTAGTAGCTTGGTGTCATTTTACCCAGCTTCTAAAGGGCACCTGAAGAGAATGCACTAGGGACTGAGGTGATTAAAAAGCCGTTCAAACACTGTTTTTCAACCCAATGAATTATGAAGCCGTCAAGGCTTGAAATTTCATGGTGTAAATAGTTAAACGGTTAACTAGGTTAATTTTCTCGTATTATCCCAGACAAACTACATAATTGTTTCGATCAATATGGGGAGGAAGGTACACCAGTTGAACTGGATAGCAAGCACGATAAGCAGTTCTTGTTGAATTCGGCTCCTACCTCATAAAAGATTAAGATTCAATATCACCAGCTCAAATAGCATGATGCAGGGATAACCTGAAATGTTCCGTGACTGCTTTTAAGCTAGGTAGGTATGTAGTTGACAAACATATAGCTACCCACAGCAACGAAAGTGACACGGTACAGATCGACAGAACCTCGTTCCCGATAAAAAAGTACACTCGCAAAAAAACAAAACAAAATTGCATGCAGACCCTCCTAACTAGAAACGAAGTGCTGATGTCATAACGTATCAGCCTACGGTCACTTAAGTTTCAACTGAACCTAAGAATATGCATTTGCAAAGTTGAACCTAAGAATTGGAAACAACCAAAATTGGGAAGCATGCGGCACACCAACCCGGGGCTGCCAAGAGATCCCCAGAACCCCATGAAATCATCAGGCAACTGGAAGAGTTAACAGACGAGGAATACGAGAAGAAATGAGAGAGGGCAGGTTTCGGAGGGAATAGTGAGATCCGGTTCCCCGCACTAGAAGGAGGAGGAAGGAGCACTATGCAGAAACAAAGATTGAAAGAGCAAGAGCAAGAGAAGAAAGGGTGAGAAGAGCATGCATACATACATACATACATACCTGGGAGGGAGGCAGGCAGGCAGAGAAACGGGAGGCGAGGGAGGGAAGGGGGGCAGGTTGGTTCCAGTGAGTGCAAGTGACGTGGTAGTGGTGGAGATGGCAGTGATGCGGGGAGAGGGGAGGGGTGGCGAGAGTCACGAGAGAGGAATAAGAAGAAGAAGGAGGAAAGGAGCGGAGGACGAGGAGGGCACGGCAAGGAAGGGGGCAGGGTTACGGAGGAGGGCACGGAATGTGAGGGAAGGCAGGGCAGGGGAGCCCGGCGTAGGGCGAGGCGGGCCACGGAGGAACTGGGGGGGGGATCCCGGAAGGAAGCTGTCAACGCCACTAAGACCAGGTAAGGAGGCACAGCACGCCCGATGATGGCGTTGCATTTCCACCCAACTCAACATCAATGTATTGATTCCATTCAGTGTTAATATTGCCAAGTCTCCTAGGGTCAGGCTTTGTATATGCCCCTTCGTTTGTTGCATACATCTGCTACACTGCATTGCATTTCAACTCCCATCATGTATGTCCTTCTGTAATCACTGTAATATTCTTCCTCTTCCTCATGTCTTTATTGCATTGTAAGCTTAATGAAAACACTCTGTGCTTTCTACAGATTTTGAGGATTCAGAAAATTTCCACATTGTTCATGAAGTTATTGCAGAAAACAACATCTGCACACATGTAACACAAGGCTCCAGTGCATAGTACTATTTCATTGTCCAAAAGGATCAAACACCACATTATTTGTTTCACTTAGTTTGAATTTTTTGATTCAAAATCTTTAAAAATCTATGGATTTTATAAAGACTAGTTGTTTTCATCAAAAAATGTTGAAAGATTACAGTCCTTTCTAGCTACTTTCAAGTTAGTACTATGAAAACACATGATCCCTTTAAAATAAAAATGCTTAGATTTTTACTTTTAATATTTAATCATTAAAATTTCATTTTTCATTTTTTATTTTTATGGTTGATGATATATATATATATATATATATATATATATTTCTCTCTATGTTTATACAAACATTTTTTTTGAGACAATCTATTTTTTATTTTAAAATGAAATATTTTCTATTTAAATTCTATAACTTTTTATTTTATTTTTAAGTTTAAATTAAATTATTAAGTAACATATTTATTTATGTATTTTTTGGTATTTATAAAAAAATATAATAATTTTATGAAATATCATAAATAATGATTGTTAGATCTTTAAAAACCTTCTTAGTTACAAAAAGTAAATATTTTATATTTTAAAGAAAAAAATGTTTAAATGTTTTTGCTATAGAAGAACAAATCATGTGTCTTTATTTGTATCAACTTCTATGCTAAATGTTTCTATGTTTTTTGGTTTGCAAGGAATTTGTATAGTGATATAATTGTTATATTATTTTATTTTTATTATAAACCATCTTATTGAAAGAATGTCATAATATCAAAGAAAAAAACAAAACAAAAACAAAAACACACATATATAACAATTTTAAAGTGATATTCAAGGTATATAGAACATTGGCAATTTAACTAAGAAGGTTTTTAAAGAGCTAACAATCATTATTTATGATATTTCTTAAAAATATCCTTCTTTTTTATTCTTCCTAAGAATAAGCATTGTTACATTTATATATGATGTAATGTAATTGATTGAGATCATTCTAAGTATCTTCTTAAAGATTGTTCTAGTTGATTTTCATGCTCAATACTATAGAAGATTTTATGTTGTATTCTAAAGTTAGACCCTTTGTACTAGTTGAATACTATAGAATTTGTTCTTATTAGTATTGCTCAAATTTTTGCTACTAATGTATCTTATGATGGCTACATGCAAATGGTTAGTATAGTTATTGATCTTGAAGATGATTGTATTGCCTATTCATTGGATTTTGTTTGGTTCTTAAGTGAAGGACCTTTGTTATTTGTCCACACATAGCTTAATTGTTATTGTGGAGTAGTTTCTTTATTCTATTTTTTTTAGTAAAAAGTGAGAATTTGATTATATATAGAAGCTAACTTGATCCAGCCTTAGTAGTTTATAATTAATAACAACATGGAACTCTTAAAGAAAGAACATGCATTATTATTATTTTAAAACCATTACTATTATCATTTAATTGTGAATTTATTTTCTAGGATTAAGAAGTCAAGAATCTACATAGATATTGAGAAGATAAAAGATAGTCAAATTCTAGAAACTAGAAAAGGCAAAATAATCCCACTTCATCATTGTGCATTCTACAAACATCCTCCCCATTTCAAGCTTTGTTGCGCAAAATACAAATCTATCCAAAACAATGGCATGGATTTTTTTGTGACAACAACATGGGTTCAATTAGTTATAATTTAATGTAGAATGATTAATATAAAAAATTCTCTTTATTTTGATTTTGAGTATAATTTTAAATAAATATTATCTAAATCTTTCTAATTTTTTATAAATTATATTAAATTATTAGTTAATAAGTTTATTATTGTAAGATCCTGAATTTTCTTCATTTTGTCACACATTGTTTTAAATTTTTAATTAGAATTTTTTTTAAGCTATTTTTTTTTTATAAGTTTAAAATTATTGCATTTGGAATTAGGAAAATTGTTTTATAATAGTTCAAGTGAAGAGTAGTCCATTCTTTTAGTAGTTTGAATCATCCAACTTTGGAAGAAAAATTCTAAATACTCAACTAAGATATTGCTATAATATATGATGGTACTTAAGTTTTGCAAGTTGGATTTGTAACAAATACAAAATAATCAAATTTAAAGCAATATAAAGAAAAAAATAGGTATTGGAGTCTAAAAAGGTTTGTAAGTTAGTACGTGGTTTAAGGCATGAATATTCTACTTTCATTTGCTCCATGATTCTGATGCCACTTTATTTATATTACACAATTTAGTTTTAGAACTATTATAATAAAGACTTTATATATATTATAATAAAATTTATCTTGAATTTTATAAATTATCCTTATTAATACTTAATTTAGGTGATTTATTTTAATTATTTAAATTTTTATTTAAATTTTTTTATTATTATTTTGATTGAATTTATTCTATACTAAAAAATTAAATAAAAATAAAAAATATTTTAATGATAGTTGATTAGATATTATATTATAATATTTATAAATAATTAAAAAAAAATAAACTATAATATCTTACAAAATAATAGTAAAATATATAAAAATAAAAACTAATATTTTTTATTTATACATGTAATTATATATTTATATATATATAAATATACAATTATTTACGCATTCTCATTGGTGTCTTTATTGTCTTCTACAACTATGCTGATGCACATGCTCTTACTTCCTTTGTTACTAGATCCTGAAAAAGAATCATCTTGTATTCCAAAGGAATAGAACATACACCCTTTCGGTGCTAGTATCAAAGGATACTCTACTCCATTCTCTGCTTTGTATGATATACCAACTCTTTTTCCAGCAGATGGAATTGTAGACTTTCCTTTTGATCCAGAAGATTGGAATGCATCTGTTACAGGTGTGAACATTATATTCAAAGGGTTTAAATCATATATAACTCTCCTTTTAGAGGCCATGATTGGTTGATGTTATTAATGTATACTATATGGTTGTATTATTTATCAGTTGACTATATACATATCATTCTCTATTAAGATCCTAATCATAATGTCTGCGAGTTCCTTTTTGGTCCTTGTAGTTATCCATCTATATAACTTTTGCTTCACATTGTACGGAAGTAACAGCAGACTATCATACTTCGAATCTGTAAATGCTTTTATAGTATGCATCTTCTTGATATCCATAACGCTTTCCTGATCTGAAAAGTTATAGAATGTAGGTCCTATAGTATCCATAATACTCTCTTGCTTAGTCTCATGTGTAAGCAAGTACAGTAATACATCCATCATCATAGGCCCGCTGTGTGAATCTATACATCTACCTCTGTTGATGCTTCTTAGATCTCTAAGCGACTTTTCTTTATTCTCAGATAAAGAGTTACGTATTCTAAACCTATTATCTCCATTAGAAAATATAGCATATATCTTGTGCCTTGTTTCCATTATTTCTCTAGAACGCTTTGACTTCGATATTATCTTTTGTATTATGTCGAGCTCGTCTTCAGCACTTACTGTCTTCCAAGCACCATCTAACACCCTTGTCTTCATACATGCTTTAAAGGATTCTGAAGACAAAGAATATGAGTAATTATCTTCTGCTGTTCTATACGATAGTATATGATAATACTTGTCATTGATACAATCGAAGGAGTTCTCAAAGAATAAACTAATGTTCTTGTTACCACTTAGTATTGCTGATTCAAGTAAATGCACCTTCTGCGACATTGTCATTGATGATACCACGTATATAAGATCTCTCTTGTCTTCATATATTACTTTTGTAAAGTAATTAGTACTTGTATTAATACGTTGTTTGAAGCTTGATAAGTGTGTATCTCTATTTGAAGTAGTAACAGAATCCAGGTGTATCATATCCTTTATTTCTTTAATTCTTGTTCCATTGTCAAGATTAATACCTTTTCCAATTAAAGCCTTTAGTACACTTTTCTTGGTATTTAACAATGTGCTTATAGCACCTATCGAAAGAGTATCCGTTGATTTAGTAACAATCTTTCGTATAGAAGCTTCTATATCATTGCAGTACCATAAAAGATATGTTGATATATCATCACCAAATCCGTTTCTTATTGTTGTAATATCAACATTTAAGTAATAATCAACGCAACAACTTCTTATAACATTCTCTACATCTTCTATACGCTTTGACTTCTCTTCTGAGATTAGATATTTGTACATATCTATGCTTACAGATGGTACACACTTGTTGCTCTTACGTGCAAGAGCCACATGTCTGTAAACATGTATTGATCTTTCTTCGACTTTCAAAAGGTCATGTGATTGACTTCTTACTGCTCTTCCAATTGCTTGTACTATTGTTGACTTGTTCTAATGAGGAGTAACAATATGCACTTGTCTTACATTAGTTAAGCT